GGGCATTTCACAGTTGATAGTACATATACATAATGTCTAGTATCTTTCCCAGAGCATGGGTTTTCTCTCTCTGCTGTCCAGAAAAGGCAAAAATGTAACTGTGTCACAAAGGGAGGCACATACACTGAGCAAGTTCATGTAGGCAGCACAAACCAAATTCTTTTTTGGAGGATCCTTAATCACCTAGGAAATAGACCATACTAGAAATATAGAAATCATATTTTGATATCTCTCAGTGTGAAATAGCTAAGGTATTGAAAGGTCAGAATGTACACAAGCTTAAAGGTTGGGTCATTTCGGAGCCACAGCTTTGCTAAGTTTCCAGTACATCAACAAACTTTAAAGTGTCCTAGCACTTTCTCCTGCACATGATTGCTAACAAACAAAACAAATGCTCAGTGGGTTATTTGTTGAACTCATTTCTTTTCCAGGTTCCTGAATGAAAATATTCCTTTATATATTTAACTTACAAGAACCCCAGAACTTTTGGGTTTACATATTAAGTATTTTGTTATAGAAATAGGATAAGAGCCCTATCCTTATGAATTTCAAAAGTAGTTATAAAATTGTTTGAGTTTTTGCATACTGATTTTTACTTGAAGTCAGACAGATGTTAATGTTTTCAGGACTGGAGTATCCAGTCCTCCCAGTACTCCTATTCACTTCCATGAAGAGTCAAAGCCCTTAAGGCATAACTATGGTGCATACAGTTGCTTTTTAGTGTTTTTCTATTTTAGGACTATACTCTTCTCAAACCTTCCCAGAGAGCCTAATATACTCACCTGCCTTCTTCATCATCAGTCACATTTACAAAACCTCTTCCTAGATGTCCATTTCAAAGACGTACGCTGAACTTTTTTTCTAAGAACTCTTTCAAATTGCAACCGATATATATAATAAAGCCCTTAAACAAGGGATGAAAGTCAAAAGTGTAGAATTCTGGTTTTTAAAGGGAGGAGGTAGTTCATTTCAACACTGGAAGTCATTCCAGCTCTCCTTGATGCACATAGGAACCACAGTCCCTGCCTATGTAGAAAACTCTTGTTGAAAGTCTGCAGTGTTAGTCAAATTTCAGGTAACTGTTGCAAAGCAAAATCCCTGAATTAGAAGAACTTTATATAGACAGTTTTCTTTTAAAGAGAAATAAACTTTATAATGTATCCCAGTTGAAAACACATTTTAAATAGTTAACAAGAAATGAGATACTTTCAGCATAAGTAAGAAAGAGATAAAGTCTCAAACAGGAGAGATGCCAAGCCTTCGGGCTAAAGACATACCTTGCCTTGAGGGCACACTCATGTATTCCTTAGCCAAGCAAGTGTCCTGGCCTCCTTTAACTTACAAAACTAGACTTCAGGATGGTGATTTGTTCCTTTGTTCTAACTCTAAAAAGGAAAAGAAGGAAAGAGGATGGTTGTCATCTACCTGTTCCTATTTAAGTTTACTGAGGAACTAAGAGCGTTCTAGAGGCAAATACATGGTAAGTCAAGTCAAGCATGTCTGCCAAAGCATGAAACAAACACAGAGGAAAAATTATGGTGTTCTGAGTTATCCTGCACATAAACATGAAAACATTCAGTGAAAACAACATCAAAGCATTTGAAATGAACTCCAATCATGCTTATATCACTTCACCTCTGTAGTCTGTCTTTGTTTCCATTATATAACTTGTGGTCAAGTATATATTTTTCATGTAGTAGAAATGAAGGGAGTACAGGCCTTAGATCATATAGTGGCTTTGTGTTCTGGTATGGAAGACAAAGGACTTTTGATGCTGGCAAGCATCTGAGAGAGAATCGCTGTCACAATCCAGACCAGGTTTAGAGGCTTGAAGAGCATGAGAATTGCTCATTGTGAACTCCTACTGAGAGACCTCAGTACCAGGGGTTGGAGAAGATAACTATGAATCCCGGGGTCTGGGTATGGGGAATGGAATTTAGCTTTTTCTCTGCCGTCTCCCCTGTTATGAGAGCCTGGTGGCCCCTGTATAGTGCCTGGGCCCTCTGGTGACATTCTGAATGAGTATCATAATGCTTAAATGCCAATATACAAGCCTCTCCAGGTCTGGCCTAAAATCTTCCACCCCACTAAATGAAAATCAATAGCACAAAAATGCAAAAGCAAGTTCTGGAGGTTGACCAGCTGGCTTCAGAAGTGGGTGAACCACCATCAGCAAACAGGAAAATCTGGTATTGTGGCACACACCTTTGTTCCTGCCACTTGGAAGCAGAGATAGGAGGACCAAAGTTGACAGTCATCCTCTACTGTATATGGCATTGTAGGCCAGCCTGTGCTAAATAAGACTCTGTAAAATCAAACAATAACAAAAGCCCATGTGAATTTTAATGTGTAAAAAATAAAGGTTTGGATAAGTAAATCAAGCTTTCATTTGAAAGCAATAGTCTTTTGTCTTTTATCTAGTTGAAAATTTTGCGAACTATAACTATTAAGATTGATGTTTAATAAAATTCTGATTAGTGACTATCAGGGATTGAATGAATAACTAAAAAAATGAGTTGATCAATGAACATGTTTACTTTTCTGGGCTTTAGCCAGAGATAAAAATTCCCTCTACCCAATGGCTGTGTAACACATCTCTTTCTATTTAATCTATACGTAGGGACATACATAAATTGTCTTTCCAGCCCATTAAGACCATGTCATAGGGGTCCCCATACTATCTGCTTGGTACTCAAACAAACAATAAGCTGTGTTCTCACAGTCAGCAGTAACTACTGACCAAATTGTTAAATTCAACCTTTTTCACCCTCAGCCCACAACCGTCTGCTGAATGCAAGGAATTGATTAAAACACACCCTCTAAAATAGCTGTATCTATATATTAGTAATTATTAATCTGGAGTTATAATTGAATTTTTGTTGCTCATATACACACCTCTGCAAGTCTTATTATGTTTGTAATGTGAAGAGAAATCTCAACCTGCCAAGGGTGACCTTATTCTCACCACACTTAAATGTTGTGATAATCTTGAAGCCCCGCACAGGTTGTAATGAGAAGGCCTTCTATATTCTTTGTCTGTCTGTCTGTCTTTCTGTCTGTCTGTCTGTCTGTCTGTCTATCTATCTATCTATCTATCTATCTTTCTTTCTTATTGCTTTGGTGTCAGATAAGAGGGGTAGCAGGTAGTGTCCTTTATGGGGTCCCATAATATCTGACTGCAAATTTATTCTCTTTTACATCTCTTTTTCCAGCCTAGAGAATCTCTTCAGGGCTGTATTCAGAAGCTCTTGGTTCAATTGAAATAATCATAATTTTCCCAATCACTATCCATGCTGTGATATTCAAAAGAGTACTTTGAATCTTAAAATCTCAAACACTAATCAATCTCTTTGTGTTTTATTTCTGTGATGTCAACTTGTAGATCCATATCTAATGTTATGCTTAGTAAAATACTCATTATAATACGCTACTTTTTCAGTTAGTAACAAGAGCACCATCCAGAAAAACCATGCTACAGTCCGTTAAAATGTCCCTTTCCCCACATCCTTATTTATATGCCATATGCAAATTTTCCATTTTTCTTTTTAAAATAAAATGTGAATTTGACCTATACTTCTTTGATTAAGAGGGAGATGGATCATTTCCCTTCCCATGGGTTTATGCTAAGTTTGTACTTTATTATTTAAGCACATGTATAACTGACTCACTTTGCTTATGGACTTGTAAGAGAGAGCCCAGTGAAAAATTTGATAAATTCACTGATACAGTGCCAACATTCTCCTGTGTTATTCCTTTCCTTGTGCAGCATTTAAAATAGAGAAACTTAAACTTTGGACATCCAATTTTGAAATTCCACTCCTCCCTGACATTCATTTATGAATTTCTTTTCTATTGTAAGATGATAAAGATCTCTCAAGGTTAGATTAATTCTTTGCAATTCAAAGCATTACGTTTTTGAATAAAGACTATAAAAGTAAATTCTCAATTACTTTTTATTATTTATTTGTTTTATATCGTTATCTAATAATCTTTCCCTTGTTTCTAAATTCTAGCACTTCAATCACTGTAGATGTTTAAAGGGAGTTATTTTCCGGTAGATAAAGCTTCCATTTATTGAATTTTTTGGGGGGGTGTTTCGAGACAAGGTTTCTCTGTGGCTTTGCAGGCTGTCCTGGAACTAGCTCTTGTAGACCAGACTAGTCTTGAACTCACGGAGATCCTCCTGCCTCTGCCTCCCGAGTGCTGGGATTAAAGGCATGCATTACTACCACCGGGCCTCTTAACGAAATTTTTAACTTATTTTTTTCAAAAAAAAATTTTGTCTCATTCATTTACTCTTTCAGGTGAAATTTTAAAATTCTGATTGAATATTTGGCTTATTATTAGGTTTTTCCTATCTTTAGTCCCCCTGGCTCAAACCTTCTAATCCACCCTGTATCTTAATACAGTCTAACCAACTTGTAGCTCAGTTTTAATGTAGACAATTATGGTGATATTATTGTTTTATTTGCCATGTTTTCTGGAATTTACAGATGTCTATGTTTTGTCAGAGGGTTTATAGAATTTTGTTATAAAAGAATGTTTTTGTTTTCTTTATTATTGTTGTTTTGTTTGTTCGAGATATGATCTCCTGTACCCTAAATTGATCTTGAACTCACTACACAGTCAAGGATGACTTGAGTTCCTAATGTTCCTGCTTTGGGATTAGCATGCCCCAAAAACTATGTTTGTATGTAATACTGATAGATCCCAGGGCATCATGCAGGCTAGGCAAGAACCGTACCAACTGAGATACAACATCAGCCCCTTGGCTTTGATTTTTGAAATAGGGTTTCCACATTGTCAACCAGGCTGACTTGAAGCTTTCAGTATACCTGAGACTCATTTTAAACTCTCAGCAACACTCCTATCTTAGCCTTCTGAGTACTGGATTTTATGGAGAAGAGATATACCTGCTTCAAAGCCTGGGTTTTTACTAGAATAGTTATTTCAAATTTGTCCCCCAGGGAAACAAAGGAGTTCTCATCTTGTCTTTTTAGAGTGTGGAAGGGGAGCATCATGAGAAAGCTGTGGAACTTCTCAAGGCTGCCAAGGACAGTGTGAAGCTGGTGGTCAGATATACCCCGAAAGTCCTGGAGGAGATGGAAGCTCGCTTTGAAAAGCTGCGGACAGCTCGGCGCCGGCAGCAGCAGCAATTGCTCATTCAGCAGCAGCAACAGCAGCAGCAGCAGCAACCACAACAAAACCACATGTCATAGGTGAGACCCGCCCTCCTTCCTGCCTGCCTACAAGTGCCTCACTCCCTAAAGATAGCTCCTAGGCCAACAGAAGTAAAACTGTCAGGTGTACACACACTCCAAGAAAAATCAACCAAGTGAAAGATGATGGTATTCCATGTGTTATTCAGGTACAGACTCCTCTTACATAGGGAATTTGAAATATAATGTGCTATAGCAGGAGTAACTACTGACTCCAGGGTGTGTTTTTATAAACTAGGATGATGCTGTCTCTTTGTCAGCTCAGGTCAACGTAACAACGGGAGTTGATTCTAGTCCCCACTCATCCCCTTGACTAGTAGTTTTTACCCAGTACACAAACTACACAACAGTGTAGTGCTATATCTGGTGACAGATACTTTAGACCAGAGAGATGCAGAGTTTTAGGAATGTGCTCTACATGGAGAATGAAGTAATAAGATGACAGTTAACACAATGTGACATACCGAAGGGTTTGAAATGTACCCAACTTCTTTTCCTTCTCCCACATTCCACTTCACAAGATCTGGTCAATCAAGCTTTGCGTATATTTTCAAGAAAACTGAAGAAAAATGTGTTAATAGTAAAAAGCTTTCACCTTTGAAGAATCTACTGTGTGTGATTATCATATATCCCTAAACCTCTGAAGAACCATTCTACAAATTATCATTAAAGTCATTTGGCTTAGTGTCTATTGCTGTGAAGAGACACCATGACCACAGCAACTCTTATAAAGGAAAACATTTAACTAGGACTGGTTTACAGTTTCACAGGTTTGGTCATTATTGTCATAGTGGGAGGCATGGAGGCACACAGGCAGACATGATGCTGGGGAAGGAGCTGAGAGTTCTAAATATGAATCCATAGACAGCAAGCAGAGACTGCCACACTAGGCTTAGCTTGAGCATATACAACCTCAAAGCCCACTCTCATGCTAACACACTTCCTCCAATGAGGTCACACCTACTCCAAGGCCACACCTCCTTGTAGTCCACTCCCTATGAGCCAAACATTTAAAGACATGACTCTGTAGGGGCCATTTCTACTCATACCACCATAAGTCACATTTTTGGGATGAACAGCCTGAAGCTGTGATCAGCCATCATTAACAAGTAGATTGGAATCAGGGTTCTCCTTCTGACAGTGTCAGATGCTGTGAAGTCATTTTTATCTTTTCCAAGCCATTCACTGGAAAAGAGAAATTTTACCATTAGGCATTTGTGCACTATGATGTCTTTAAATGTGCCTTGGTAAGGACATTCAAATGCTCTTTAAAAAGTGACAACAGGTGATGATGATTTTACATTTTTCCATATTGTCTTACTGTTTGCTTAACAGAAATATTGGTTGAGACATGAAATATGCCCCCTTTAAAAAAATTACACTTGTGAAATAGAAAAGTTATATAACAAGTTTTCTTTTAAGTATTCTTAGGGACAGCAGAGATGGCTTATTGGTTAAGAGCACTTACTGATTTTGCAGTAAACCAGGGTTTGGTTCCCAACACCTATATCAGGGAGCTCAGAGCTCACAATCACCTGTAATTCTAGCTCCAAGGTGTCTGAAAGTACAGCTCATGTATAGTACACATACTGATAATTAGACACACAGAGAGAGAGAGAGAGAGAGACTAAATAATTAAATAATTAAATACATAAATTCAGAATTATATTTCTTCCCCCAAAGTATGTTGATCCAATTCCAGATATCTTTTAACACAGTTGTGGCCAGGCCCTGTCTAGTCAGCTCCAGAGATACCATGAGCAAATTAACTTCATGAGGGTACATCCTGCTAGGCGGGAATAATTAATAAACAGGCAAGAAAATAAGGCTAGGTGGTTACTTTAGACACAGACCACTCAAAGGAGATAGCATCTGAGACGAAACTGAAGACCAAGGAGCAGCCCCCAAGGAGACCATAAGAGAGGAAATGGCCAGCATGCTCGTGTATGAGCAGTTTGTTACTTGAGGAACAGAAAGAAGACTTTGAGAGCTGGGACCAATGAGTGACAATGGCAGTGGTAGGTGGTGAGGTCAAAAGGATGTGTAGGGACTGGGTACAGAAAGCTTCTCCACCCCTGGGAGAAATTGGATTTTATTGCAATAGGAGACAATGAAGGATTTTAGAAAAAAAATGGCATGTCTTGATTTATGTTCCATAATGATAATTTGACTTCTGTGACAATAGAGAATTACAGGGCTATAATGGAAAGAGACGATTTGGAGGTTGAAATACAGTGGCCAAGGCAAGAGATGGATTGCCTTAGTCTATATGCTTGGGATAGATACCATGAATAGACATGGGCTAGTCATTTTGCCTAAAGCCTCAGCTACCAATCTGTGCTCTCAGAATTCTACCAAAAAGTCCCTTTGGCAATAGAGGAAATCCATGATTTCTAGCATACTTTCTGTTAATGCTATTATTTCTTCTATCCTTGGCAATGTAAGGTCATGCATACGCCCCTGAGTTATTGAAAATGTCAGCCCTAAGCAAAATTGTCCAGGAGTGTTTGTAAAGCAATATGTGTCAGTCAGACTTCTGAGATCTCATTGAAAGCTTTCCATGTTTTACTACTTCAATTATCTTTGGAAATACACAATTTGACATTCGCAAACATTTGGATTTCTAGTCCCTGTTCACTCTTCATTAAGTCACTTCAAGATTTCCTATGGATCATTAGAAACTCACATATTTAACCAGAAAAAAAAGCACCAGCTGTCTTTCATTGTTTACATGGGATGTGGTGGAGTTTTGTTTGCTTGAACATGAACTTTGTTTCTATGCCTGTCAAGAGAGCCACTTTAGTGCATACTGTCTGCCCCTTGAGATTAAATGGTAGTGACCATTTAAAGAACAATCAAAACACACCCCGAGCTGTGTCACCCATGGATTTTATGGTGAACTCAGTCAAAAAGATCCACATTGACTCTTGATTAATTTTTAATTAACTTGATCTTTAAGGAGTCAGAAAAGATTTACAACACTTACTAATTTATTCTACAGTTGTTTTTAAGAATTTTCAAGCTTATTAAATCTATTTAACTGGAAACAAATTTTGGTGGGTTTTTTTGTCGCCATTCAAGCAAAGACCAGATAATTAAATCAGTGTATTTTTCAGATACAGTCTCACTGCCTATAAATTAAATATAACTTCATGTTCTCAAATATCAGAAGGAAAATATGTTACCTGAGAATGTAGAAATTATGAAACCACTATGAATGGGAAGAGTATAAAAAAGAAAAACAGATGGAATTTAAGTTATACAGGGTTTGTCTTTCATACCTACATTAATTTTATATCCTGCCAAACTAAAATTGTCTTTGATCCTCACTTCTGTGCTTGTTAAGTGAGAAGATTAGATCCAACTTCCAAAAAATGTAAAAATACTCTGCATTTAAAGAAAGAAATCTAAACAGAAAATATGATTATAGGTGATGGCACTTTTTGAGAAAGTGCTATGTTTATTCATCTTATATAGGTTTGTAGTTTTAAAACATGACTTCATTACACTTTGAATTTTCACTCTAATTTTCAAAGAATAACAAAGAAGAGGAGCACTGACACTTTTTCAGATATTAATATTCCGAGTAACACCCCAGCCCTCCATTATTGGGCAAGGATAGGATGAAGAACTCATCAGTTGTGAAACCACCACAAATCCCTGCAGATGAACATAGAATCTGGCATTTGTCATCTGCCTCACTGACTCTGCCTTTAGACCTGTTTCTCTTACTTTGTCATTTCTGAAATCTTTCTCTACCTCCTGCTAATAGCAGGGAATTGTTGCCAAAACCATTGACCCAGCCACTGGGGACAGTAGATCTCATAGGGTGACATGTTAAAAGTAAATACAGGGAATGCAAAGTAGATCAAGCAGAAATAATGGGAATGTTAATGTTTATGAAGCAACGCAAGCAAGAACTCTCCTAAGTGGTTCAGACATGTTAAATGACTCTTCCCAATAGCTCTGTGATGACTATATATTATTTTAATTGTGTTTTAAGTTATGAAAGAGAGACACAAAATGAGTATTTAAATATATGGAACATTTTACAATTAGAAAATGACAGGACAGACTTTAGACTGAAAAACTGAGGGTTTCCCGGCCTCTTACCCCTCACCACAATAAAACACTGTGTTACTGCTCAAAGGTACTTGAACTTAACAGTTGCAGATTCCACCTCATATTCATGAACATCCTGAAGATGAAATTTTACATTGGTTACAGTTAGGCATGTCTAAACCACCATCCCCAGTCACCTCCAAAGCAGTACACCATCCTCGAAAGACCTTAATCACTACAGTGGTTCTAGTTTTCCATTTTGTAAAAAAAATTGTTATTAATTTAGTGCTTGCAATAACACAACTTTAATAACTTATAGTTCTGTAGAATTCACTGTAATTGTCATAAAAATTCCTATGACATTTTTGAAAAAATATAAGCAATAATCCTAAAAATTTCAAACCAATCTATAGTAAAAGTCAAATCTGGAACCATCACACTTCCTGCCTTTGAAATGTATTGCAGAATCACAGTAAACCAAACAGCATGGTGCTGGAGGAGTCTGCATGCTGCTTTTCCACAATGACTGTTTTAAATCACAAATAATACACCCACCAATACTGATCTCCCTTTTGTCTGCACTGTATTAACATTTGCTATCCTTTTTAATCTTTTGAATAGGCAAGAGATCTCATTTCCATTTAAATTTTCATTTCCTCAAGAGTTCAAGACAATGAGCTTTTTATTTATTTATTTCTCATGTTTCTCTTGGGTATTTATCTTCTTTGGGGAATAATCATCTAAGTGCTTTTGCAACTTTTTTATTACTGTTTTAGTTTTGCTATTGAACACCCTGAGTTTTTCAACATATTTTGGATATTAACACCTCATTGGTTGTATTATGCCTGGTTTACTTTTCTCACTCTGATGGTCTTCAATCCCGTCTGTGTTGACATCATCTGTCTATCAAAAACTGCTTCCTCTAAAACAGGAGTTACTCACCAACATGCAAACCAATATATGCACACATCGTGCAAGATAGAAGGTACACATATCAAGGCAGGCAGGGGAAGAATAATTGTGAAGACCACAGTGGCCCCTCTGATGGTTGACAAAGGCATCCATCCCACAAAATTCATGATAAAATACAAACTAAGTTTGTGTATGAAAATGAATTACTATAGGCAACCCGATGGCTCAGTAGGTAAAGGCACTTGTCACAAAACACTGGTGACTTTCAGTCTAACACTTTCCCAACTGAGTAATATTAGCTGTGCTTAAACTTGGAGAGACATGAGTTTGACTCCAAGAACCCACATAAAGATGGAAGAAGAAAACTAAGGCCATAAATTTGACCTCTAACACACACACACACACACACACACACACACACACACACTAAAAATGAATCACTAATCTTCTTAGTTATAAATCATGTAATAGGTAAATAATCAGATGGTTCTTCCCAGAAGGAGTTATGCTGAACTCTAATTTGCCCAGTACTCTCTCAGCTACTGGTATGTTTTTTAGCCCCATTTCCCTTCAGGATATGTGAGAAACCCTAAGATTCTGATGGTGTAAAATGTGTTTGGATCCCCATTCCTTTAGGACATGTTACTCTAATAATTTAGTTACTTAAAAACACCTATCTCTAACCCAGAAAGTGGTGGCACATGCCTTTAATTCCAGCACTTGGGAGGCAGAGGCAGATGGATCTCTGTGAGTTTCAGGCCCGGCTAGTCTACAGAGCAGGTTCCAGGACAGCCAGGGTAACAAAGAGGAACCCTGTCTTGAAAAACAAACAAGAAACAATAACAACAAACTACTAGCTCTGTCACCTTAGGAAGCCATCAGTCTAACCCTGATTAAAATGCTCTCATGTAGAGATTAAATAAGAAGGAGGTTATATGTAAATTCAATAAAACATATAAGGTGTGACCATGTAATACATTTCAGTCATGATAATACTGTTGCCACTGATGCTGCAGTGGTTAAAATGTTAATGATATTCATGTGTGACACAATGTAGGAAGGCAATTGGCTTCTGCACAGTGGACCCTTACATACTATTGCTTATTCTGAAGCCCTTGGGATTGCTGGCTCATCACTAGAAGACTTTCAGCCAGTGCGGTGGTAAAAAGAATAGGCAGAAAAATTTTTGGAAAATTTGTTTTGTGCATACTTTTTGGTGTCACTTGAAGTAAAAACAGCAGCATCTTTAACAACAAGGATTTGGAGAAATAAGTGTGTCCTAGGGAAGAGTGACAGCTGTGAGGGAGGGGCTCAGCAGAGCAGCATCCCCAGCTCTGTCTGGTCAGACAAATGGCACTGCCTGTTCTATGTGGTGCCAGGGTGACCTTGGAAAAGGGGCTTTGTCTCTCAGAGAAGGGATATTGGTGCTTCCAACTTGTCAGCTACGTGCTTTGCAGGCTTGGATCTCGGTAAGGGCATTATTACGTGCTCTTGTATTGATTAAAGTTACACTGCAGTTACACTGTGAATGTTACTTGTATTCTTTTTTGCCTTCATGGAGAGAATTAGAATCATTTAGAACAGATAGGAAGACATGTGAAATATTTGAAATATTTGCAATTTTTCCAAACTGAAATTCTTTATTTCATTTTGGGGGAAAATCTGTGGCTTTTCCTGTCATGGTTATCAATGACTACTTTCATAACAGGTTTGCTGTTTTTTTTTTCATGTGTGGAAGATTGTGAATGAATAATGGTGGTCCAAATAATCTGAGTCATTTTCACTGTGGAGGTTTGTATGAGAATGACTCCCCGTCTTAGTTTTATGGTAACTATTGCTGTGATGAAACATCATGACCAAAAACCACTTGGAAGAGGAAAGGGCTTGTTTGACTTACATTTCCTGAATCATAGACCACTGAGTACTGCCAAGTCAAGAACTCAAACTGGCAGGAACCTGGAGGCAGGAGCTGATGCAGAGTTCAAGGAGGAGTTGCCGCCTACTGGCTTGCTCTTCATAGCTTACTCTGTCTGCTTTCTTTTTTCGTTTTCTTTCTCTCCTTTTTTTTTTGAGGTTGCATGTTTTGTTTTGATTTTTTAAATTAATTTATTTTTTAATCCAATCCCAATTACCCCTCCCTTCTTTCCTCTCACTGCCACCCCCACTTCACCCTCCCACCTGCCATATGCTCCTCAGAGAGGGTAAGCTCACCCCAGGAAGTCTACGAAGTCTGTCCCATCATCTCGATGATGAGGGACCAAGGCACTTCTCTACCCCCACACCCCTGTGTCTAGGCTGAGCAAGGTATCTCTCCATATAGAATGGGCTCCACTAAATCAGTCTGTGCATTAGAGTTAGGTCTTGGACCCATTGCCAGTGGCCTTGTATATTGTCCCATTTGCACCATTGTCACTTATATTAAGGGAGTCTAGTTCAGTCTTATGCAGGTTCCACATTTGTCAGGCAGGAGTCAGTGATCTCTCACTAGCCTGGATCAGCTAATTCTGTGGGTTTCTTATAATACCCAGGTTTATACCAGGCTTTTTCTTTTGGGCCACCAACCAGCTCCCAAATCATGACACAGAGGCTGCTTATAAGTTATCAATGCTCAATCTAGCTTAGGTTCCTTTCTAGATAGCTCTTTTAACTTAATTTAACCTATTTATCTTTGTGTACCTTTTGCCTTGGGGCTTTTTACTTTTTTTCTGTATGTGTTATTTTCCTGCTTCCTCTAGTGGCTGCCTGGCTTCTTGCCCTGGGCATGGCCCTCACATTCTCCATCTTTCTCAGTCATTCTTTCCTTCTTTCAAGCTTAGATTTCTCCTCCTATTTATTCTCTCTGCGGGCTAGCCCCACCTATCCTTTCGCTGCCTAGCTATTGACCTTCAGCTGTTTATTAGACCAATCAGATGACTTCAGTTAGCAAGGTAAAACAAATGCAGCACATCTTTACATAATTAATCACACATCATTAAACAAATGCAGCATAAACAAATGCACACACCTTAATGTAGTTAAAGTAATATTCCCCGTCATAAACAAATGTAGTACATAGTTATGTAGTTAAATATTCCACAACACAGGACCACTAGCCCACGGGTAGCATCACTCACTATGGGCTGGGACCTCCCCATCAATCACTAAAATGCTCTACAGCCTTGCCTACGGCCCGATTTTATGGAGGCATTTTCTCAGCCGAGGTTCCCTCCTCACAAATGACTCTAGCCTATGTCCAATACTGTCCAGCACACCTCCATAGTTTCATATGTTTGAATTTTAGGTTTCCAGTTGGTAGAAGGATTTTTGAAAGAATTAGGAGGTATGGCCTTGTTGGAGGAGGTATGTTATACAGGGTAGGCTTTGAGGTTCAAAAGACTCCTACCATTCTCGATCCCCCTAGCCCACCCCTTATGGATAAAATGTTAGTTCTCAGCTACTGCTTCAGTGTCAATCCTCCCTGCTTGGTGCAATGTCCCCAAAGATATTCATGGACTCACCCTCTAAAACTATAAACAAATCCCCAATTAAATGCTTTCATAAGGTGTCTTGGTCATGATGTCTCTTCACAGCAATAGACTGGTAACTAAGACACTCCTACAGCACATGCTCTTGATGCTTTTAGTTATTTATAGTTTAAAAATGAATCCTAATCACCGATTTCTCTCCACTGTCTTCTCATACCCCACCCCATTTTCAGGCACTGAAGAAAAGCTGTCGGGTCAATCATCTGACCGTCACAAATTTGGAACCGTGCTCCAGAATCCCAGCACATAGGAAAAGGGAAAGGCAACACCAATAATTGCACCAATCACAAAGCTGTGAACATGTGGTGTATCCATTCTTTACCAAGGCAATTCAACAGCTTCCTCCTCTGGGCACCAGCACCCTGTTCATCGCTTTTTACCCACTCAGACCCTCCATTCATGGCAGTGGAAACTCTCAGTGTGTTGAGGAAGAGAATTTTCCAGTCTGCAGACTGAAGCAGTGTAAGAATAAAGACTGTGACTTTGGAACCAATCACCAGGGCTAGGATTAAGTCAATCTTTAGCCTAAGGCTCTTCCAGAGATTAGCAAACCCTTCATTAGGCTATAGTTCAAACTGCATCAGTTCAAGGTTGTGGCCACTTGGAAGGAACCCACACATTTTCCCATGTCTTCACCTGGTCCATAGTCTATATTGCTGAGCTCTTAGAATTGGAATTTGACTTAGTGACAAACCCAGCCTCCATCCTCTTCTTGAAAATGGCAAGTTCTTATCTGTTATAATCTCTTCAGAACCCAGAAAGAGTTGGCTTTTTATCTTCTTGTTTTTATCAACTTCGGAATGTATAAACAGAGTAGGGTATTTTAGCTGAACTTTTAATTTTCAGAAGCAAGGGCTGGAACTCAATGCTGTCCTTTTTAAAACTCTAAGCATTGTCTGTATCTATTATTAATTTCAACAGAATATAATGTTTATTTATTCCACAAAATATGTAAGACCAGAGTACACTTGTTCTGACTTGTTCTTTGTTTACCAAGGGTTACTGCTCTGGTAAGAGATTATCTCCACTTAATGAACTCATCCTCACTTGATATATGGAACCAGCCATCCATATTTTCTTGCTAAATTTTATTTATTTATTTTTATTGATAACCTTTGGAGAAGTCTCAACCCACCCTGCACATAGTGATGTGCTTTCATAGATACCTATTTGATATTTTAAATCTTGGAGATTTATAAAAACTGAATCATGATAGATGCACATAGATATACATCCAAGGGGATATATCACACAAAATTTCAGTTTCTCTAAATGCAAAGTGTATATTTTTGACAGTCAAATACAAAGGATATCAGTATTGGCCCACTTACACTGAGGTATATGGAGCCCAGTGAAACCATTGTTGCATGCAGGCACCGCTTTCTCCAAAAAGAAATGTGTTTCATTTTGCATATTCTCATTTGAAAATATGCAATCAGATTTTACAACTTTCACAAAGAGCTGTGTGTCCTGTATACACAATACTTTTTAATTTTAGGGTAAATCTAGGCTCCTAATCTGGTTTTCCATATTGCGAGAATGAAGCTATGACTATCTGGGCACTTAAATACCTTAAGCACAAATACACACACACACACACACACACACACGCGCGTGAGAGCACACACACACACACACACACAATAACTGCCTAGTAAAACCTAGTTAAATTGTTAAAATAGCATCACATATTTTAATATGACCATTTTTTAAATGTAGAAAATGTGCTATTTCAGATAGTTCTCCAACATAGAAATTTGTGAAGCTTGGCTTACAAACCATCTTCTTGAAACTAAACAAAACCAATTAGATTTCCCCAGCACATTTTATTTCACACTGTGGGGTGGTACTATTGTCAATAACAATCTCTTACTGCTCTAGATAGCGCATCACCCACCAGGTGACAAAGAGTGAGAAACCCAAGAGCTACACCAATTTATTTCAACACTATCCTGTTGTGGTAAGAGATTCCCATCCTGGAAAACATTATTTTGTTTTACTAGAGAGAGGTTGGGAAAAGGGTCAACAAGGACCAAAAATGTTATATAGAACAGGTCAATAAAAGGGACCAGCATGACAAAAAGGACTGAGTGGAGACTATATGAATATTATTCAGTTTGAAAGATAGTTTTCATTTTTATAAGAAAAAATGTAATAAACATATATTTTAGTTATCATTTAACAAGGAAATATTAAAGATATTCAGGAGATGCCACAAAACTCTCATAAAAGGAAATCATGTCACCCTTATAATGAGAAAATGGTCATTTCAATGAGTTTCAGTACCTTGTATAAATTTGGAGCTTAAGATGAATATGTTTTCACTTAGTTGTTAAGTGTTTAGTTACTATCGAGGTTAACTTATGGTTTCCCATCAATACAAGTATTGTCAGAAGCAGCTATGAAATAAGCAGGTACTTTACACTGGTGTTTACTAGACGTCTTTGTATTTTATGCTTCATTTGTATAACATGTAGTGTTGATAAATGTTTGCCAGTTTGTTTGTTGAAATGAAGCAATCTGTCATACCTACAGAGGCCAAGGATAGGTTATGTGTCTTAGTGGTCTTATGTACAAATGGCTGGGTCAAATCAGTGAAGTGTAAAATTATTATCACAAGTGACACCCTCAAAGATTTACAGTGCCACCCATGCATCTCTGAAGCTTCCTTGAAGTAAGACGGAAAAGGAAGAACAAATCCATTGCAATCTGGCCTGGCCTTCTCTATGCCTAAGAATCACATACAGAGCCACTGACATGTCTGATGTCATTCATTAGAAGAAAAGGCACAAAAGGCTGCTCTTCCATTCAGTTAGGGAGAAATTGCTGTGATGTCTCAACAGGGACCTGACTAAGTGAATCTCACCTCTTTCCCTTCCTTGTTCAAGGTGGTAGGCAGTACAGCAAACTTCTTCTGCACTTTTTCCCTGCTGCAATTTCTGAGGCTAGCAGAAAAGGTAAAAGAGTTCCCGAACCTTTTCACTGGAGCATTTACATTTTGATTCTGTCGCCATTTGCAACGGAACATCTGCAGGGAGATAATGACTCTAAATTACAATCGACTTTGGAAGAATAACAGACTTTTGTGTTCCTCAATCACATAATCAATAGGGAACTCTCTAGCCATGAGAGTCACCACTATCTTTTAAGACAATGCTAAGATCTAAATGAAAACTCTAGCATTCAGGGGCTTGTTAAGAACTGGAGCTTGTCTCTAAAGAACTTAGAGATCAATTACACCCATTTACAAATGAGATTCTCAAATGTGACATCAAGCTCATCTTATTTCCTTTTACAAAGCCACATGTTCAGGGTTCCAAATGTAGTACATTGCTTTCAACATCTATTACTGTCTGTGGGTGTGTGAATGGGTGCCTGGATTACTCACCTTTTATAGCTCTTTGCTTATAAATGCTCATAACCTATATTTAAGAGTAGTTTCATACAAAATTATGACACAGATTTAGATCATTCTCTGAGGATTCAGAGTACTCCCTTCCCCACAATCCCGTCCTTCTTTAGATTCCAAACTCCATAAGACCAACAGATGTGATTACAGTCCTGCAAATGTGGGGCACTCAATGGATATTTGTTGAATGAATGATTGAAAAGGGGGACAAGTGAATTAATTTTGATTTCTGTTTAACATATTATATTAATTGGCACTAGAAGTTCACGTGTCATAGCCAAAGTCAGAATTTTATCTAAGGTAAGATCTGGAATCAAATTAAATGAAATATCAAAGGTTTAAAGTCATATATATTTACATATGTATACACACATGTGTGCACATGTGTACACACACACACGAGTAAAAGAAATCTCTCCATCTCTTTATAAAAGCACTTGAACTATTTGGAATGTTTGCTTCAAATACGGGCTTCATTTCTTAAGTTCACAGATAACCATGCTTTAGCTTCTATTTAAAAAAAGAACTTACATTATGAAGCACATTAGAGTGCCTGTGATATTTCTATTTTCCAAAGGAGTCCACAGTCATTGAAAGCACTCTTTATAAATTTCCTGCTTTCAAATGTCATTCCTTCATCTTTGATTCCCAGAATGTACCTGAGCTACAGATAACCCCATGTCACTCTCCACCCCCAATCTTTCCACTTATTTATTTATTTAACAGATATTCCTGGATGCTGGTGCATGCAAGATTCTGGAAATGCATTGTGAAACAAGTCAAATAAATTGCCATCCTAAGGTTTATTGTGAGGAACTCCTTAGCGCTTATTTTGGCCAAACTATCTCTCAACTGGGCCCTCTTCACACATGAAGAAGAACAAGAATAAACCCTCACCTCATGGGAACCATGAAATATTTCCTGCATAATTTATGTGAGCTTGCTTGTCTGAGTATACCCCTCAAATATGCCACATAGTTTAGCCATAAGGCAAAATTGCAACCCAGTGATGTAGGCAGCTGTAAGTCTTAACATTGCATCTGTTCCTAGCAGGTTGCAGCTTCTAACTGAATGCTTTTATGAACTCCTCCCCATAACAGCTCTGTTCGCTAGGTTCTATTTACACACAGGAAAATGAAAGCACAGATTGCATGACTTTTCCAAGGCTACCTGACTAGCAGGAGAAGTTGGGGCTTGAACCCATGAAGTCCAACACAATAGATCATATGCCTAACCATGATCTGTGGAGCACGAGTCCATTAAAATGGATGAGTCATTGTATATAGAAATACCTTGAATTTGTAAAGTAGTAAATAAAAGACATTAGCAAATTTTAACTCATGATGGTCAACAAATCACATCAGAAATGAAAAACAGGATTAGAACTGAATCTTACTTTATAGCATATGCTCATGAACAGTACTTCAAGCCAGGGACATGCATCCATGTTCAGATATAGAAAATTTCTATCGGTGAAAATGTTTCAATGACTTCAGAATTATTTATTGTCAGCCACTGTGTCTATCTGGTGCTACAAAAACCGAAAGAACAAAACCCCTGCTCTAAGGGCTTAAAGACACACAGTGTGGAGATGAGCCAAGGATATTTTCATACCTTTAAGGAAGGATTGGCCAATTGTACCGTTTTTTCACCATTGCATGTACATCGTGTCTTTCTAATTGTTTTCATTGTTTTTAATGAAAGAGCTGCAAAATTGTGCAGTGGTTCAACCTGACCAAAGTGGTATTATGCTGCTGGGAAGTAAACGTGTTAGACGCCAGACTGGAAGTATTGTTTTTATTAACATCACGGGAATCATCAGATGCTGAAACATGTGTATTTGGATGGGAAGTCTCATATGTTTCTCTGTTCCTAACACACACTGAGATCTTTCTCTGTAGGGATGAGGTCCTGTAAAGAAAGAGAGAACACAGATTTTGCTTTTCCTTTTCACATTCCACATAGGAACTTCAGAGACTAGATTTAAAGTGGGGATGTTGAAACCATTCTAAAAGAGGATACCAGTGTGGCTTTTGAAATCTTGTCATTTGCTTTAGATATCATCTGCCACATCTTTCTGAGCTTTCCTATACAGATGTTGTCCTGAGCTTCAGACTCCTGCACATGCAACCACACCTAGCCATTTAAAAACAAAAACATGAATGATGGGGATTTGAACTCAGATCCTCTTGCTTGTATACCACTTTAATCTTTAGGCGCCTAGACAGATCTTTATCTTTTATTCACTCAGCTTTCCCGACCGGAATTCTATCCTCAGAATGAGCATGGGGGTGTGCATTAATATTTTTCATGACATCCACACCATCTCCCGTTTTGCCCACACACTTTACTTCACGGAAGAAATTCTAAGATATATAAGTGGGCTTCAAATTATCAACTCAGCCTCTCCTACCCTGCTCCAATTGTGAGGCTTGTGATCCTAGTAACCATCCTCAAAACTGCTTTGGTTATATAGGTGAATAAAAGTTACTAATAAAACTCAAAATATTTACTCAGGCTTAACACTTCTGTCATGTTCATAACATCAACTTTTACCTGAGGTTAAATATTTATGTTCTATTATAATTTAACTAGTGTCCCCTAGAGGGTTAGGTGGAAAGGGCTTAGCAGTTATCATGGTCCATTGGGAGGTGACAAAGGTTAATGGATGTTGTCAGAGCTCTCTTGAAATTGGGTACTGGATCTCCAACCCCTTTCCTTTTCTCTCTCACATTTCACCCACGTAGTTAAAGAGTCTGTTTCCTTTGAAAGTAGGTACCGGCTCTCCGGCCACCTTCCTTTTCTCTCTCACATTTCAGTCACACAGTTAATAGATTTGTCTCCCCCTACACACACCAGTGCTGCTTCAGTACAGGCCCAAAGTAACAGGGCCAATCAGTCAGGAACTGATACCTCCAAAACTGCGAGCAGGCCAAACTTTGCTTCTTTATGCATTGATTTCTCTCTGGCATTGAGTCATGGGTACAACAAGCTGACTGACACACACACTTGCGCGCGCACACACACACATACACACACACACACACACACACACCGATTACCCCACATTGAACCTATATAGGTATCACTTGGTTGTTTTGTTCACTTGAAGGATGAAAATCTACAATACCCTGAAGGAAATACTCACACAAAGGACTACAACCTACATATTTTTATTAAATTAGATTACAAAAGGGAAAAATGCATCACATGCGGACAGTTTCAAATAATCCCATTGCTACCCGGAAGCTTCCCATGAGCATTTGATTATTAACTGCACTGCAGTATTTCAAACACAGTAAAAGGGCTGGAAGATTGAGAGGCAGACAGGCTGCCACAGGGATGGAGACACATGCAAGGCTCATGGATGGGCCTTGCAACGCTCTGATTCAGAATCCAGTTCCTCAAAAAGATCTTGAATCATGTATTTTCTCTGAGAAACCTAGAGAGTTCCACTTAAAACTTGTACTTCAGATCAATATGACCAGCCCATTCATTTCACAGAAGTGTCTCATAGCAGGGGACACAATGTGTGGTCAGCCCACACAGAAGAGATAACAGTGTGACCAAGGGTCAGCTTAACCTCCCTCAATCCACAACATGATTGAAGGGTTTCTCTTTTTCTCTTCCGAGTAACTGAAACCAACAACTGAACACAAGTTATAAAGAGAATGGATAAGCTCCAAAGCAGACAATATCCAAGCCTCAAGGATGATAAAAATCCTGCTTCATACCCTATCCTCTCCCTCGGTTCTGCCTGTCTCTCTTCTTTCTGCTTGCTTTTCTTCTGCCACTGTCATTTTCCTTTCTTGAGAGTCACCCAGCCTAGAACTTCCGATAATTCTAGCTCCAGAGATCTGATTCTTCTTGCCTCCTAGAACATACGAACATAAGCACATACATACATGTAATTAAAAACAATGCATGAACAAATAAAGAAATAGAAAATCAAATTCTCCTTCTCTTGGTAACAATACCATAGAGGAAGATTCTACATGACTCTTCTTGGTTCTGGTACATTCCTGAAGCAAGTCACTCTAAGATAAATGATTGACCAGGCCTAGGCAAGATTCTCATATCCAGTGGGTCTCCATGTAGTAGCTGCATAGGAACCAGAATGAGAGGGACACCATGGCTCTAGTATAAAGCAAGCCAAGAACTGCCCAAGAAAATGCCTATCCAAAAGCAGATTGAGTTGCTTTGGTAAGGTTGGGTTACTGAGTTAACATTTTACCTGAAAAAATTAGAAATACCTTCTTGGAATAGAAGTTACACAATCAAGTGGGGCAGACTAAATGGGACCTGCCATGTATGAAGGAGGGTTGGATTGGCGCTGCACAGACATTGATTCCAAGAGTGTTGCCTGCTCTGTCTCTTCCTTGTACCTCTCACTTCTTTATATACTTCTGGGCCTTATATGAATCTCTCTCTTTTCTTTCTTGGACTTGTCTTACTGCAAATGGCTTGGCCTCGATACAGCTTAGTCAAAGGTCAAAAACCGACATACTTGATTTTCAAGTTCTCCTACACCATAACAACTCCTGCCACTGCACAAATGACGCCTAAATCTGTTATAGCTCAGAGTTTTCTGCTCTACACTCTCCAAAGTCTCTTACTGCTATGACTTCTCAGTGTACTGTTTTCAAGAAATCTTCTAAGACTATTATGTAAATACTCCTTACTCAGGACTTGTAAGTTCTTTGGGTGTGGTTTAAAAAATTTGCAAAATCTGGAACAAAAAGCTTAAACTTTTAACAAAACATTTAAAAAACTATACATAGGTAACCAATTTTCAATAGCATACTATATTAATTTTCTGCTTAACTCTTGTTTAGGATGTGTGTGGGGGGTATATAACTCAGATTCAACTCTTATTTTACAACAATAGACCTATTAGGAACACAGATGATTTTAAATAGCAACCATGTGACTTGACTCCATCTTGACTGATGAACTCATTAGGATAGAAACAAACATGTAGCTGGAAGCCATCTTTACTAAGGTTAAAGAGTACATGCCATATGACTTCACCACCACCCTAAATAAGATTACCATGTGGTACAAAGCAACTAAAGCAACAATTATAAAACTTCACAGTCCTGCTGAGCTCTCCGCTTATCACGGCATTTTATTTTTAAACTAAAGATGCAATAACAGGTCTCCAAATTATTTTGGATTATAGTGGATTTCTATGTGAAGATAAATTCCCAAGGTTATAAAGGTATAATGAGGTTAACAAATACAGACTTGAAGATGCATGTCTAACTACTAGACCTTTGCTATTTTCAACATCAGGCTTCTAGAAAGTTTTAGATAAGTAACAACATGTGTTTAATAAACAATATATGTTTGATAAATAAGGTTTATGAATTTCTAAAGTCTACTCAGGTTAAAAATAACTGGCATGAAAATAATATTCTGTAATGGTGCACTATAAAAAAATCAAAACCATTAAGGTTCACATTTTCTATGGACTGCATGATGTGTTTTAGTGCAGCTGCAGCAGTAAGGAATACAACACACAACTCAACAAATCCACATGGAAGTTTAGTAGGAAAAGGACAGGAGGTAGGGAAGGTTAGTGTTGACCAACTTGAAGAAGAAGAAGGGGCAAACCAGTGAGCAAAACTTGCTTAAAAGAGAAAGCTTGCACGTGCGTACAGAGTCTTATGCTGCCATGCAATGTATAACATAGCCACAAAATGCATGACATAGGGACTTACAGTTGCAGGGCCCTTGAGCTAGTTAAGTATCTGCCTGAATGCTGGTGAGCATATCCTGCAAGTTGACAGGGGACAGGGTCAGCATAATGCCAGGATATTGACATTGTAATTATTGTCCAGTAAAGTCCCAAGTTCTCTATGGACTGATTTTATGGTTTAATGTTTATTGTGTTTACGTAGTAAAGTTTTATTTTGATGCTAAAGGATTTTCAACTAAGTCATCAACTCAAGTTTTTAAGGCTCAAACTACAGGAATAAAGATGTAAAATCCTCATTTTATAAAAGCTACTTAATGTACTTGAAACTACAAATGTAATTTATTCATTTATAGTTTCATTTAAGCTCCTGTATATGTTTAAAGGTTAAGCTTAAAGCTAGTAACTAAAAACAAGTACATTTTGCTTAAAAACAGTTATACTTAATAGATAATGGTTTGTCAAATTCTTCAGATATCCACTGGCTATGGCATTTAAAATATTTAATTAAAAAGCTCCCTGTGCCAAACAGAAATTCCAGCTCCTAGTGGCAACTATAAGTTCTTCAAAGAAGATAGGGCACCAATGACTCCACCTGAACTGTTGTAACTCTCACTACTGGGCAGAACTACTCCTAGTCTTACCAGCCACCAGGGCTCTACTCACACCATGGACAGTGTTGACTGTCCCGATCTGCCTTGCCACAGCAGGTCAGTTTTCCCAGGTTCTTTCTCTACAGGAAAATCTCTAAAACCCTCTGGATCTCACACCAAAGGCCTATGCTGCTCTGTGCAGCATCTGAAAATGTACTTCTGCCCTTTGTGACAGCAGGAGACCAACAAGCATTGTCCCCACAGAAATTATCAAGACCACTGAAGCCTAGGGTAACCATTTAGGTAGTAGGTAAATCTGCCATTTTCAATTGATACATAGGCCATTTGGATTATACTTCCTGCTATAATTTATACTTTTCAGATCTCTGATGATGTGGATGCTATGCCCAGATTTCAGAGTCCCCTAAAGACCAACAAGGAGACCAAAAGTCCTGTATATAAAAACAAAGAGCTTTATTCAAGGAAGCT